TCCTCTGGACACATTCCAGCTTGTCAATATCTCTCTGCAATTGTGGTGCCCAGAATTGGACACAATATTCCAAAATCTCCTCTTGGAGATGGATGGGGTGGCTGGAGGCATTTTGTGCCATATGTAAGCCAACTCAAGTCCCTTCAGGGAGATGGAGGCAGGGTACAAAATAAAGTTGTTGTTCTTGTTCTTGTTGTTCTTGTTGTTGTCGTCATCATCACCATCATTATCATCTTCACCTCAGAGAGGTAGCTGGCCAATTTAAGCCTAGAATTGGTCTTTTAAAGAATAGAAAATGCACAATAAATTGATTATGTTCAAGTCTTGTTAATGGCCCACGTAAGCTAAAACATGGTGATGATGCTTCCAGTGTTATCTAAAAGAGTGTCTGAGAACCTTTGGGAAACACCCATTTTGTATTTCGTTTGCAGAGGAGGCTGATCCTTTAATGGTTTCCTGAGAAGTCAGAGCATCTCCCAGTCTTCCATGCTGGCTCACTCATTTATTATGTTCTTAATTCTATAAACCCAGACATTTCCATAGGTACGTTGTGCATCTACACTGTAGAACAAATGCAGTTTGACACCACTTCTGCTGCCAGGGTTCAATGCTATAGAATCCCGGGTACTGTCATTTTCCAAGGTCTTTAGCCTTCTCTCCCCAACTACAACTCCCCAAATTCCATAGCACTGAGTCCTGTTAAAATGGAGTCAAACTGCATTTATTCTACAGTGTAGATGTGTCTGTAGGTAGAGATATAATCCAAGATCTTATATTTCAATTGCTACGTATATCGCCATTTGGGAATATGCACATTGATTGTGCTGCTGAATGCTTGGTCAAATGGCAATGCAGTGGGCATTAATATAAATGTATCTGAGTGCACAAATGAATATGGAGCAACTGAATGCACAACCAAATATGCCTTCAGATGGTTCAGATGGAAAGTGCTAACTCCTTTCGTAAGAAAGTTTACACTTTTAAAGTCTCCAATATGATTTCACCCTATTTCCAAGTTTCTTATCTCCTTCTGGGCTGCTTCTTCCATGGATTGCCTTTGACTTGCAACATGTGCTGCTACCTAGCTTGGTTTTAATGTGTTTAGACAGTAAATAATATTTTTGTCCTGTCTCACATTTGAAAATATTTCATTTTTACATGAATTTTGTATACATTATTCCATGATCTATACACTGCCATATAATGCAGTTTGGAACATCAGTATATGGTCAGTGTAGACTCATGTATGATAAGAAACAAATTCTTATCATGTATGATAAGAAACAAATTGGTATGATAAGAAACAAAGATGGCAGGGACCTAACAGAAGCTGAAGAGATCAAGAGAAGGTGGCGAGACTATACAGAAGATCTGTATAGGAAGGATAATAATATTGAGGATAGTTTTCACGGTGTGGTGAATGAATTAGAACCAGACATCCTGAGGAGTGAGGTTGAATGGGCCTTAAGAAGCATTGCTAACAACAAGGCAGCAGGAGACGACGGGATCCCAGCTGAACTGTTTAAAATCTTAAAAGATGATGCTGTCAAGGTGATGCATGCCATTTGCCAGCAAATATGGAAAACACAAGAATGGCCATCAGACTGGAAAAAATCAACTTATATCCCCATACCAAAAAAGGGAAATGCGAAAGACTGCTCAAACTTCCGTACAGTGGCCCTTATTTCTCATGCCAGTAAGGTAATGCTCACGATCCT